AGGTCATGATGGTTGTAAGTCAAGGCACCTATGTGATCTGAAGAAGCTTCTTGGGAGAGAAGTGAAACATCTTCAAAAAAAAAAAACCCCCCCAAAAAATCCAGTTTCCTTTGGGGGGGGGGGGGGAACCACCTTCGGGATAACCATGACTTGTATGACTGAGAATCTCCAAAGACGTGATTGGCCCATGGTCACTTAGCTGGCTTTGTGCCTAAGGCAGAATTACAACTCATGGTTTCCCACTTTCTAGCCTGGTGCCTTTATCACTACACACGATTGTTTCTCCGATCTCAGCGGAATAACTTCAACTTTAGTGGCAATACAGATGGAGGAGCAGATGAAGAGAAATTTCTCTGGTTGCAGAACAAGTTAATAAAAAGAGTTATTTGCTTTTGCCTTTGCAGGCTGGTCTCTTGGTAGTAATGGCTCAGTTGGGATGCTTTGTACCTGCTGAATCTTGCAGGCTTACTCCTGTTGATAGAGTGTTCACTAGACTAGGAGCTTCAGATAGAATTATGTCAGGTGGGTTCCATGTGTTTTTGTAAATTAATTGCCTTCTCAACACAATATGTAATGATCAAATTGAAGGATTTCTTTCTAAACTACCTCCAAGTTCAGTCTGAGCTAAAAATTATCATGCCAAACCTAGAAAGTACAAATCAATTCCAATTTCTCTATTATTGATTAGAAAATAACAGGGTTTAAATACACAGCATGCTTTCAATTGTCTGGCAGGTGAAAGTATATTGTTTTAAGATGCTATTATTTTCTGGTTGAACATTTACAACATTCCTAGTAGATTAATAAAATATCAGCATTATAATGAAGAGAAGCATGAAAAATCTACAGAGTTGAATATTGCCTTAATCCAAGGCTTGAATTAAATAAACCTAGAAACTCTTATAGGTAGTTTTCGATTTACGAATGTAATAGAATTCCTGCCATGCGTAACCTGAGGAATTCTTTAATGGTTTACTTAATGATTAGTGAATGTTTTGCCCAATGCATTCACTAATCAAATGCTCAGGTCATTAAGTGTGTATGAGGTATCAGCATTGGGAAGACCGGGGGGGTGGGGGCTAGTGCCCCACCTAGTCACCACAGGTACTGAGCCTGTGGAGATTCATTTAACTTTTGAAGAGCTCAATGATCAAGTGAGCTGTGTCATCTCCAGCCTCTGCCACGGTTTCTTTGCCTGTGTTCCTGCAGATTCTAGTTGTCCTTGGAAAAAGCTTTTGGCACGAAGAGCAGAGGCTGGGAGCGATGTGCATGGCCCTCCTGGCCTCCATTCTTAGTAGCAACAGCTTTTTGCAAAGACAACTGGAGCCTGCAGAGATGCAATCTCTTGCCCCTACAGGCTTTGGCAAATCTTTGCTGAAGGCTTTTGCCGCCAAAAACAGAGGGCTCCTGGTCTCCATTCTTGGCATCAAAAGCTTTTTACAAAGACAACCAGAGCCTGCAGGGATACAATCTCTTGCCCCTGCAGGCTTCGGCAAGGCCTCAAACACCAAAGCTTCCTGTCTGTTTGCTAAGCTTTGTGGCATGGATCTAATTCGGGTCTCCATTTGCAGAGAATGGAGATCTGAAGCAGTACGAGATCATGTGAGATCAGTAACAAATTCTCTGCAAATGGAGACCCGAATTAGATCCATGCCACAAAGCTTAGCAAACAGACAGGAAGCTTTGGTGTTTGAGGCCTTGCCGAAGCCTGCAGGGGCAAGAGATTGTATCCCTGCAGGCTCTGGTTGTCTTTGTAAAAAGCTTTTGATGCCAAGAATGGAGACCAGGAGCCCTCTGTTTTTGGCGGCAAAAGCCTTCAGCAAAGATTTGCCAAAGCCTGTAGGGGCAAGAGATTGTATCCCTGCAGGCTCTGGTTGTCTTTGTAAAA